TTTATCATTATATTCAAATAATTTTAATATTTTTGTCAATTTAAATGTTTTATCCAAAGGTAAATAATCTTTACTTTCAATAATTAATTTACTAATTTTTTCTCTTAAAATAACGTTTATTACTGCATAAACAAAAGGTTCATTTGAAAGACCCAAATTTGTTGTTTCATATACTTTTTCGAATAATTTATTTTTTACTTTTTCGCTAATAATTTTTTTGTCAAATGAAGTTGATATATTATCTGAAATGAAGAAAGAAATTTTATAGATAGTCTGTAAGTTGTTTAAGTTGAAATTGTGATAAATCTTATGGCTATATGATTGAAATTCGAAAATTTGAAAATATCTAATTCGTTTGATGAACCTAGAATTTCTGGCAATTTGCCAGAAACTTGGATTTTCTAGCATTTTTTGATAATTTCTTCATTTTATAACTAAAGTTATTATTAACAATAAATCACAACGAAAAATTCCCAACGAAAGATTACCTAAATATTAAATTCAAAACTTAAATCAAATTATTTAGTATATTTGAATGTAGTTTGTAAAAGATTTCAGGAGAGATAAAATAAAGATTTGATAATTTAAAATAAAATTTTTTCCAACCCCCACCCCCCTCTCCCCCCCTCCCCCCCTCTACAACAAAAAAACCTCCTTCTACAGCAAGCATATTTTCCAAAATTTCTTTCCTTTTTCTTTCTTCAAAAAATTCTTCAAAATATTTGACAATTTCTTCAATTTTTATTTCCTTATTTATTAATATTATTTTAAATTTTTCTTTAAATTCTCTATAATAATTATCTTTTTCATTAAAACTAAGTTCATGAGCATCCATTAATTGATAAATTAATTTTTTGTTATTATTTTCAGAATTAATTTCAATAATATAAAAAAACAAAAGAATAATAAAAGTTAATAATAAATTAAATTTCATAATTTTAAAAATAATTTCTAAATATTTTTAAAAAATTAAAAGTGTTATGAATATAGAGTAATAAAAAATAAAATCTAATGTGGAAAAAACACAGATTAATTGCGAGAGAAAGGAATCAAAAATATTTCAATTAAATTAAGGATTTATATAATTTTAATTCTTAACCTGTTATTTAGTGGAAAAAATAAAATAATAAATATTATTTTTTAAAAATTATTAATTTTTTAAGAAATAAATAACAGCATTGCCTTGCAAGTGCAATTTCATAATGTCTACCTACATCTTTGCTTTTCATGTGAATTTTTTTTGAATATTTAAATTGAAAATTTGAGTTTAAGACATTGTCTAACTTCAAGAAAAAGTATTACCTTCAAAAGTAATACCTTCAAAAGTAATACCTTCAAAGCTCCTTAATCTCACCAATCTGCTTATATCCTCCAATATCCTTCAAAGTTACTGAGATCCTGTTAATCCTATATTTCCCTTTATATTTCTCTTAATCCTCGTCATCCGTCCACTATTTCTAGATTAAAATCCTTCCAAATTCAAATATATTACACCAGGTATCCCTTCAAATCCTCCGGTATGTAAAGCGGCGGTAGATAGGCCTGCTCCCTAAAAATCTTCTTGCTTTCTAAAAACACTCTTCCGTCGTAAACGCTTAACGAGAAATTCTTAGTAATTTTTGAAAAGACTCAAAATTCTTCAAAAATTTTATCAATTTTTCTAACCACACAAAAAATTTTTTTGAGTGCTAAAATAATGATTTGACAATTTTTCAAAATATAATTATTACTATCCTTCCGCCGCTCTCTTCAACAGCACTTTTTATATTTTTAAAAACTTAATACAGTCGATTTTACTCAAAATTTTATCAAATTTGATAAAATAAAAAACCCCGTTTGATCCTAGTCTAAAATATAATACGTTTAGATATTTTCAAGGTTTTAGCACTGAAACCCAGCCCAGGTCCACGCAAAATTAATAAGCCTGATTTGGGGCCCTAGATTTGAGATATCGAACTCTAATCGACATAGACTTCACTGTGTATATTTTCAAAATTCAATTATTTTCTTAAAAATAAACCAACCTGAAAATATGTATATTTAAAGAAATATTAGAAAAATTTAGAATAATTATTAATTTAATTTTTTAATCTCTATTAAAAATTAAATGGCAGGAATTTTCTCTTTCTCTAACATGCTAAATTAAGTTTTCAGCGTGTATATCCACGTTGATTGAAACTCTATAATTTTTTTAAGTTTCTAAATATGGAAAATAAATTTTTTTAGAAAGAATTTACGCATCTAAATTCACGTGTTTAAAAAAGATTCAATTAAATTTATATGTGAAGATTGATTTTTTCAAAGCTAAATTTTAAAAAAGATGAATTTTGGAGGGTTCTGCGAATAAAATATATATATAATTATTTGAACAGCTTTAATAAAAATTTAATAAAAAAAGATGATACAAAGCCTTTAAAAGCGTTTAGTCAATTAGGGATAAACCAGAAATTTAATTAACATTAAATATAATAAATCAAATCTTCTAAATAAAAGTTTTTAAAAATGAAATTATTATTTGTGACTTGCATTGGTTTTATGGCTATTACAATTTCTTTAGCCCAATTAGGTGAGTAATAAACGCTTAATTTTAAAGAATTTGTAAAAATAAATTTTTATTTTTTAGGTTACCCAGAAGGGCCTTCAGATCAAGGTGAAAAATATTTTAACTATCGTAAATGCTCGAATAATTACCCTGGGTAATTGTTGTCTCAACCTCTCTCAATTATTTGAGAGGGTAATTATTCGAGCATTTACGGTATATAGAATTTGAATTTTTTAAATCAAAAATACAAATATTCAGTGGTCTAGAAAGCCATTTTAAATAAAAATGCATTTTCAGGTGATGTGAGCACTCCTGCTAGCACATCAGATATTCCTGATTTTTGCAAGAGCAATCTAAGGAAAAACAAGAAAGTCGACAAATGCTGCAAGGAAGTTGAGAAAATTCAATCTTCTGGCGGCTCATTGTGTCCAACTCCAAAGCCATGTACAATTGAAAAATGCGGACGTGTCTGTAACCGTTATTTCAGCCAAATGAGCGGTTGTAACGTGTCACCCAAGCCAGAAGATGATTGTGATAAAGGCAAAAAGCAAAAACATACAAAGCCACCAAAACAAGGTTACCCTTCAGGACCCGGTGATTTGCCTGAAGTTACAAAACCACCAAAAGGAGGAAAAGCATCAGCAAAGCCACCAAAACAAGGATATCCATCAGGACCCGATGATTTGCCTTTAACAACTCAAGAACCCGGCTATCCCGGTGATTTGCCTGAAGCTACAAAACCCCCAAAAGGAGGAAAAGCATCTGCAAAGCCACCAAAACAAGGTTACCCGTCAGGACCCGATGATTTGCCTGAAGCTACAAAACCCCCAAAAGGAGGAAAAGCATCAGCAAAGCCACCAAAACAAGGTTACCCATCAGGACCTGAACCGGTTGTAACCACAACAGGTTGTTCAGCAGAAATAGTACCTTAATTTCATGCGGATAAATGGATGATGGGTATAATGGTCTAAATAAAAATCAAAGTAACAAATAAATACATATACGGGAAGACATAAATTTATTCACAAATATTCTGGTATTTAAATTTAATATATAATTTAAACTAAAATACTTTTCGATTGTAATCTTTTAATAAATTTTTGATAAATAATTTATATTCTGAAAAATTTTTTATCGTACATTTTTCTTGTCAAATTTTGTTACCTGCGAAACTAATAGTACATTATAACAGGCCGGCAGAAAACCAAATCCGATTTTCGGGAATCGTGAATTCCTGAAATTTTGAATTCACGATTTTCATTAATCGCGTGAATTCACGAGCCAAAAATGCCGGCAATTTTCTTTTTTGGTGAGGGATTAGAAGAAATTAAGAGGGGTTAAATGTATGAGTAAGAAGTAAGGGGATTGATATCGAGTGATAAAAGGGGTTCTTAATTAAGGGATATTTAAAAAATATCAGTGTATCAAGGATAAAGGGATTTGAGGTAAAAAAGAAGGATTGAGGGATATTGGTGCATTTTGGAGGATTAAGAGTGATCAATAGATAAATTTGAGGAGACTACTCTAAGACAACGAGAAGACTACTCTAAATCTTTCAATATCCTCATAATTGTTCCATTTTCAGCGCCGCAGGCGAAAATTTTGAGAATTTTGGAAGGCCAAGGAGCCAGATTTCTTCTATCTTCCATCTAATCACTCCACGGTTTTTGTTTATAACAAATTATTTGCTTAGATATTTCATAAATAAAAAATACATACATATTATTTAAAAAAATTTTTCTAAATTATTTATTAATTTTAAAAATATTTTAAAATCAAAAATCTTTAACAACCACATTTCTTTCCCCATTGCTTTTTTACTACATTTACATTTAAATCAATAAAAATAATTTCCAGTTGTTATGAATCATTCTCGTTTTTTTCGTTCTTTTTTGCCTGTCATTTTTTGTATGCTAGAAAAGATTGTTTTCAAGAGTAAAATTTTGAAAAAAATTAAAATTCACATTCATATTTTATTATTTTTGTTAAAATTTAAGTATTAAAATGATATTAATTTTTATTATGTATATTGTACTTCCAGTCCTTCCCACCTTTGAGAGACAACGAGGAGACTATCAAAATTTTTAGCTTAAATAACCTCATGTTTTTTTGGTTCCTTCTCTTGTTCCCCAAATTTTCCTTTATTACTTAATCTAGTTATTCTGTCTGAAAATAAAAATCCTACAAATATTTTTACTAAAATATTTTTATTGTTAAATTATTTTAGGTACTACTGGTGAAAATAGTAAGAGTATTAACTACTTAATACTCTTACTTTATTTTTAATTATTTAAGAGGATTTAGATAAAAATAATTAAATGTTTTTAGTGAGTTTATTAATACTATTTCTGCGTAATTATTTTTACTTTTGATTACGGAATTCCTCTGAAATTCCTCTCAATTCCCATAAAAACAAACAAAAAAACTTTTAAGTTCCTTTTCAATAATTTTTCTTCAGTTTTTCAGTTTTAATTAAACGTTTTAAAATAATGCAAGAATCTAATATTGATCTCAACTCAAATCCCTCCTACGGTCCACATATTCAAAATATATTTATTGATAATCAAGAATCGCCTGTCAGGGTTTTAATGGCACATGAATGCGTTTCTTACTATTTGCCTTCCTCTAGTTCTCAATCGTTTGGTAATTATGATTTAGTTAAAAATTAATTTAGTAAAATTAATTATTAAAAAATTATAACAAAAGCTAAATTCATTCAGTATTATTACTACCGGTACCATTACTGAAAATACAATTTGCCAATATTACCTTAAAAATAACTGCCTCTACAGGGTGACCAAAAAGTCATGGGGCATGTTATTCATGTCATAACTATCAAAATTAAATATGTATAATGTGATCAAATAAAAGCCATATGATAGAGAAATAAATAATTTTCGAAGTGCCCATCCTTTGATACACAGTCGAAGATGCGTGTAAAAATTTTGGCCAAAAGTCAGCAATCCCCAATTTCGCAGTTCGCAAGTCTAAAATACATGCAATTTCACGCAATCCACAATTGCGTCCAGCCTTGCTCTAATGCTAATTTCTTTTCTAAAATAAAGTTTTCGATTTTCAATTATCAAAATTATTTTTTAAAGATAGATCTGAAGAAGAATACAATGACAGACAAATTTTGTGGCGATCTTTGATTAAAATATTATTTATGGGGTTATTTCTAATTGTTTTTGTTATTGTTGTGTTTAAAGTTATTGAAAGAGAAGTTACTAAAAGGATTGAGTTGGAAAGACAACAAAGGAATAGTTCATATAGAATGGGATGAAATTACTTTTGTTTATCTACTAAATTATACTTAATACTTTGTTTATTTAACTTTTTTTTTGTTTTTATTTATTTATAAAGATAAAATTATTTTTTTTCAATTAATAAATAAAATTTTTATTAAAAAAGAATATAATTTATTTAAAAAATAATTATAAAAAATTCATTTCCAGGAAAGATTTAAATTTTTAAAATACATTTCTGAACTTATATTCATATTAATTTTAACAAAATTCTTTTTAATTTCATTCTGTTTCTTTAAAAAATAGTCGTAGACAATTAATGTTATTATGGCATGAATGAAAATTAACTTAAATTAAAAGAACTTTTTAGAATAGTTGGTAAAAACTTAAAATTAATTTATTCATTAGAACTAGGGTTGCCATTTTCGAGTCGGCAATTTAAGTCTCTTTCGGGCCAAATATCTTAGGCCAGACTCGATCTTTAAATCCGAGTTTTTTATTTATTTATTAATTTAATCTAAAATTTTTAAATATTTACTAGAGTTAAGCCTTCATGTGCCCGTATATACACAAGCTGGCCATATTCTTCACGTTTATATCGTATAAAGTTTGTCGAAATAATAAATATTGTGTAGATAAATGAATAAGAAAAATCAAGGGGGAAAATGATTTTCATTGAAAGAATATTTTGTTTAGCTTGATAACTTTTGTTTAAACTGTAATTTGTTGTGGTTTTGAAACTTTAAATTTAATAAATTAACTGATTTATTTTTATGTAAGTAGAGATCGGTAAAATCGCATTTACAGGATCCTGTATCAGGATTGGGTTTTAAAATTTCGAACAGGACAGGATCCTGCAGGATTAATCCTGACAATCCTGAGAACTAAAAAAAGGCAGTATTTCGGACAGGATCCTGAAAAATCCAGTGCAGGATCCTGTCCTGTGCCGATCTCTATATGTAAGTTTAAATACATACAAATTTAATTTAATTTTTTGATTTCGACGAATTAAATAATAATCAGCTATAGCTATACATATCACCAAAAACAGGAGGAAGGAGTTTAAGCATATAAGTGGGTGAGAATTATAATTATTTGTTAATGTTACATAAACGACTGGATGACTAAATGTGTCTGTATCCATTTGTGTTGTAATGTAAATGTAAAGGCCAAACATTGAACTTAATAACCACTATGTTGTTTAATTTAAATTTTAGGAATATTTAAAATAATTACCACAATAATTGTGCTAATAACTCCAAACATTTTCTCTTGATTTTCATAAATTTTAACATAAAATGTAGCCAAAACACGTTCTATCATTATAGCAAAATGAGATAATGACGAACCAACAATATACATATAAGAGGGGATCTTTATCAAATAAAGAAACCAAACTTGAGTTAAACAATCACAGGAATTTGAATATGTTAATAAAACAATCTAAAATTAATTATTATGGAATCTTTCAAAAATTAAACAAACAAAATTAATAACAGATTCAAGCATAAATGACAGTGCATAAATCGCATAAAGGAATAGTACATTGCTGATTAATATCTTAAATATTTTATAAATCAAAGATCAAATTCCAAATAAATATTTAAGATCTGGCTTCTTGATCTGGCTTCTTGACTCTTGATCTGGCTTCTTGATCTTAAATCTGGCTTCTTGACCTTCCAAAATGCTAGAATTTTTTGCATATTTCTTAAGTACGGGGAAGTAAGAGGTATAAGTACGAGGTACAAGGCCAAAAATAGGGCTGTACGGAAGTACAGTACGGGCAAATTTCGAAATTCCAAACACTGTATACAACCAAAGTGAATAGACCGATATTTTAGAAGGAAATTTGTATGAAATCTTTTTTGAATTATTTATTTTAGCTGTATTATTATTATTTTTAGTATTAAAATAACAATAATAAACATTGTATACTTTCCAAGACCTATTTATTCATTTATGTGTATTCTCCTATAGCTAAAAAAAATAAATTAGATTTATCTTACGATTAAATTTGTGTGTAATTTCACTGCACTAGTTTTGTAGTACCAAATAATACGCAAAAGTAAAATAAAAATAATTGTACATAAAATTATTAATACTCCTCTTATAATATTAAATTTTGTATCGAGGACGAATGCTTCAGCATCAATGCATTGAGTTTGATTCATTTTTTAATTCTGAAATTTTTTTTGTAAAAGAACACGAAAAGAGTATTGCAAAAAAGGTATATAGGACTCGAAAAAGACTACCACCTTAATATTATAATGCCTCTTATCTAGTTACCTAAATATTAAAATGAAAAATTTTTTCATAATTATATATATGTATAAATAGTAAAATGTTAATATGTACAAGCTTTATTGGCTTTGGAGAAACATTTGCCCATAACATATCATCAAAAATTACTTTTGCTGACTTTATCTTTTTCTTAGAAATTATTAAATTGCTACTAACGAAATATTTTCAACCAACGTTTTTATACAAATGTTAAAAAATAATTATATGGTATGTTGCAGGGATCGCGCCGACAGAAAATCGAATTCACGATTTTCGGGAATCGTGAATCGGGTCGGCGCAATCCCTGGTGTGTTGTGAAATTATAAAACCACCTATTTTTTCTGATTTTTTAGGTTCTGGTTGTCCAATTAATCTAAAATTTTTATAAATGATTTTACATACACTATTAGACATCATGCCCGAAAAATCATTAAAAAATTTACACTTGGTAGGTTTTTATCAGGTTTTTTCTCGAAAATGGGTGTTAAGAAATTATAAAGCCACTTTTAAAAAATTTAGTTTTACATATTAAAAATTCTTGAAAAATTCTGAAAAATTTTTATGAGCATTTCCATTGCTATTAAATAGAAAAGCAATAAGTTCTCCCAGAATCACACCTCCCTGAAAAATTATGAAATATTTTTAGTTTAATTTATTTAAAGCATATTATCTCCCTATTTCAGACCTAATTTGTTCAATTCAGATAAAACTAGTTAAAAATATGAAAAATAAAGCTTTTGGTTAGTTTTTTAATTATTTTTAAGCTTTTAAAAGCTTAAAATATTAAAAAATTTAATTATATATTAATTTTTAGAGAAGAATTTGAGAAAAAATTGCTTAAGTAAAAATTTATTTGCAAAAAGAATATTATTTATAGATACCTTAAATTTACGTAGTTTATGGAATCGTTTAATTAATTCAATTATTTTAAAGAATTTAAATTTCTTTTGTGTCAAATTAAATAAATATATTATTTCATTTCGTTATTCTGTCAAGGGAAATACATATTAGTGATTATATAAAATTAAATTAATTTTAAAAAATATTGCTTAGAATGCTTTAGAAAATTAAAATAAAAAGTAAAAATAATCTAATTTACTAAGAGGAAATTAATTTTTTGTCTGAATTTTATCATTAAACTAGGGACTAGTATTCGGGTTGGAGCCACTAAAGAAAACACTGAAGGTTGAAGAAGTATATGTGATATATCGAAAGATTTGCACGGATTAAAGGTGAAATTTTATTAATTTATCAATATATTTTTATTAAATATTTCTGCACTTTTCAAAAAAAACGATCTAGAATTAAATATATAAATTCATTTCCATTCAGAATTCAATCTTTTAAAATACATTTCTGAGGTTATTTTCGTATTACTTGTTTTAATAAAATTCTTTCTAAGTTCATTCTGTTTTCTCAAAAAATGTTCGTAAACAATTAAAGTTAAAATTGCGTGAATAAATAATAACTTAAATAAATATTTAATTTAAATTAATTAATTATTTAATTTACTAAAGTTATTCCGTCATATGTCCGTACATAAACAAGTTGGCCATATTCTCCTCTTTTTGACCTAATAAACCCCGAAAGAACATTATAAATTGCAAAAACAAAAGAATAAGAAAAGTCGAGAGGAAAAACAATTTTCATCACAAGAAGATTTTGTTTAGCCTGATAACTTTGACTGAGGCTGTAGTGTTTTACTGAACTGAAACTTGAAAAATAAATTTTTTTAAGCTTTAATTAATTTAATTATTAATAATTATTTTTAATTTTAATATAATTCTTACAAAGAGGACTTTATTTTTTTATTTCGGTGAATCAAACAATAATCGGCAATAGCAATGAAGAGGACTAAAACTAAGAAAAAGTAATGAACAATTATTAAAACATCAGAATTGTAATTGCTAGTGAGGTTTACATAAGCCATTGGGTGACTAAATGTTGGATCCGTAATAGAGCTAAAGTAAACAAAAACAACAAAAATTAATATTAATAACCACTAAAAATTAAAAAATTAAATTTTGAAAACATTTTATTTAAATTTTACCACAACGATTGTGCTAATAACTCCAATCTTTTTCCCTTGATTTTCATAAATTTTAACATAAACTGTAGCTAAAACTCTTTCAATCATTATAGCA